ATTTGCTGAACGCTATTTTTCTACCATATTGGCAATATGATTTCAAATAAATGTAATTGTACAGCATGTTAGATGAGAATTTTTCAATCAGTTTATCAATAGATACTGTATTTTTAAAGCATTCTCTCACAAGACTCATTTCAAATTTTCTTAATTTTTTACCTAATTATATGTGAATTATTTTCCTATCTGTAAAAGTTTCTAGTGAAACTCCCCTTTTGATGAACCATTATTTAACTGGCTGGCCTTCAGAGAAATTATGAGAATGATAGCTACCTACTTCTTTCCTGACACATGAAATAAAAATCTGCTTTCATGATACAAATTATACACATCTAACCTAATAGAAAATTATCAGTTCAAGAGGACAGTGATAAACAAGTAAATCTTGAGGAATAACTTAATAAATCCTCTGCTGAGAGAGCAAAATTTGATCAATTCACATGGACCAAATATAATTTAAGAGCAGAGTCTAAAATAATCTTAATAAAAACTTTTAAATTCATCTGATATTTCCAAAGACATAGTGGTTTCTCATTCATCAATTTGAGATCAACATCTCTAGTCTAGACAATAAAGTTCTCAACAAAACCAAACAAAACCAGAGAATAATAAGTTTTAACCAAAGATATTTCAACTTAAAACAAACTTGGGTTAAACTTATGACATGTAATGGTCATCCAAAAAAGAAGACTAGAAAGGTCTGCCTTTAAATTAGATAAGTAATTAATTCACTTATTCAGAATTTAATCATCCACACATGAAACACAGTAGCAAAATAATTTAAGGAGGCCAGTATAGTATCATATTCCTTTACTCTGGGAAAGCAAACATCCTGTTTCCAAGCTTCCATGATGGGTTTATGACTGTAGAATGAGTTTATTCTCCGTCTCAAGTGGCCTGGTCCACTACAAGGCTTGATTTAAGTTCAAAGGATGGAGGTTCTTCAAGGTTTTGGGATTAAAGAAAGGAAAAGGAGTAACTCCTAACTCCTTATATGGGCAGGGACTGGCCAACCTTTAGAAAAAGTAAAGGAGCTGTGAATAATACAGGGTGACCACACAGTGAAAGCCACCAGATTCTTTCTGCTTATCCTTTCTTTGCTTAATGCAACACGAAGTCTCACTTTTATGCTCTGATGTTACTATCTCCTGAACAAAAGGTAAAATGGAGATAAATGATTCAGAAGAAGGTAGATAGATCTAAAATATATCAAGATTTACTGAAAGATCTCTGAATAATATGCAAAGATTTCTGAGTCCAATTTCTACCATGGCAACAACAAAATGATTTCCCTACTTTCTGAAATTATAGGCCACCGAAACAGAGTAACAGAGGGAAAGGCAATCTCATAGTCTGCACTGAATTTTTTTAAAAAAAGCAAACATTCCATTACTTGAGGGTATGTAATTTAATATAAATCTGTGAAAACTTCTAAGCTCATTTATCAGAATCATAAATGGTTTTAACCCAAGATCTTTTTCAGTAATTCAGTCATCTTAGTAATTTCAGGGCATATTAAAACACAAATATATCATGACTTTAATAGCCATCGATTTACAATATTATTTAGATCTTCCACATACATATTACAAAGAGTAGATTTGTACAAACTTTAATGAAATCAAACATTTAAAGGTTAATTTAAAATTTTAAGACAGTTGTAATGTTCCACCAACAAATGATGCAATTCTTAAAATTCTATCAGCAACAAGCAGTGGTGGGTTTCAAAATTTTTTCCAACCTACTCTGTGGGTGTGGCCTCCTTTGTGGGAGTGGCTTGCCGGCCATGTGGTTTCTTTCTTTCTTTCTTTCTTTCTTTCTTTCTTTCTTTCTTTCTT